GTGAGAAGATCCACCCTAAATGTGGGCAGCACAGTTTCACAAGTTTGGGCCCCAGAATGAGAAGGAGAAAGTGAGCTGAGCACCTGCATTCATCTCCATCTGCTTCCCTTGCAGAAGCAGGGACACCGGCTGAGGTGCAGTCCCACTACAACTGCACCAAGATGGACTGCACCTCACACTCTGAGCCTCAACCCAACCAGAAAACTTTTTTACAGATATGTTTAGAGGTTTATCTCACAACAAAACTAAGAAGAAAAAGAAAAGAAAAGAAAAGAAAAGAAAAGAAAAGAAAAGAAAAATAAACCAACCCCCCAAAACCCGCCCTTTTCATCCCAAACTAGCTACCATATACCCTACACATCATGCTATTTCTTCTTTCAATGCCATTGAGTTTTCTACTCAAGTCTACTGATAAATACTTCTAATTATATACTGTTTTAATGTTTATTGCTGTGCCTTTACAAATTACAGTAGAATTCTTTTTTTAAATAAAAGAACCCGCCAACATTTTTACCCACTTCATTTTGTAAAAAACTCTAAAATCATTTTTTTTGAGTTTTTAGAAAAAGTAAAGACAATAGGTTAGGATTCTGCCAATATACATTCCTATCGGGGGAGTAGGGGCTGTCTCTGACTCTTCTGCCAGTTTTGGGAACTCCATTGGATTGCCTTTTCCAGCCTTAATACAAGGGAAGTGCCTAGTCTTGATATGCAACTTGATGTTCCATGTTTGCTTTATATCCATGGGAGGCCTGCCCTCTTCTGAATAGAAATGAAGGAGGAGAGGATGGGGGAGAGGGAGAAGGTGGGAGGGAAGGACTAGGAAGAGAGGAAGGAGGGGAAACTGTAGTTGGAATGTAAAAATCATTAAAAGAATAAAAACAAACCAAAAAATTAACATATTTAATTATTTACTCTTTCTCACTAATTAATCAAATCTGCCTTGTAGCTCAGTGTAAATCTTTTTTTAACTCTATCTTTGAAAACAATGATTGCTTATTTTTCTTTCCTAAAACATAAAATATTCCCTGTTCTATATGCTTGAAGGAATAAAAAAATGTTGTTGATTTTCCATGATTAATTTTTACATGGCTAGACTATAATAAATTCTTTTCTTAAATCTTTGTAGATAATTCTCTAGGATTTTCTAGGTGCATAGAAAGTGATTACCAACTTGGACTTGCTAATAAGTTTGTACACCCAATGCTTATGCATCATGCCAGTTCACTAGTTAGAGATTTCTGAAGAGAACCAAACTGTGATGCTTTCCTAGCTCCCACAATCAGTTTAACCCTGGTTCAAACTGCATTGCTTAGACACAAGAGGAAAGAGAACTCATCAGTGTGGGTTCTTAAGGAAGTAGGCAGCACACTCCTAAGATTTTCACCAGAGAAACCAAGACTGAAATCAAGAGGGGCCCACCATTCAAATGACCTGGAAAGCACAGACATTTCAAACATCTCACTAAGAACTGTATCGCAGTAAACTCAGGTATTCTTTCAACATGGGGAGAAGGAAGATCTAAACTGAGAATGAAAGAGCTAACTTAAGGCTAACTATAAGTTATGGGAAGCCAAAAACAATGCTCTCACTTTTTTTTTTCTTTTTTTAAATTCAGTTAGAATAAGATTCCTTTTAAAAGTTCACTAACTGAACTTTCAAAAAAATTAACATGCAATTTCATAAGTAATTAAATTGTGGGCACATCTGTCACTAGGGCTAATTAAAAGGACAGGTTCACTTGTGCCCTGGAAGTTAAGTGTAGCTCAGAGAGAGGACAGCAGCTAGTGAAACCCACATTTATTCTAGCAACATTTAGCTACTGGGCAATGGCAGTGAAAAAGAAGGTCTACTTCTGAAATGCTTCTAGACTGCTTGAGACCTACCTTATTTTTAACAATGGCTCAACCCTTAAAATGTCATGAAACAGGATAGTTAGAAATTCTTCAGGATCTAGGAGAAAACAAAACAAAACTAAGTGAATTAGAGAGAAAATTTCAAAACCATTCTATTCTTTAAGAGAGACATATTAATTAAAAGTTTAGTTATTTCAGGTTCCCGTGACAAGGGAAAACTTATAATAAAACATTACTTTTTCATTTGTTGTCATGATGCCCTATTTAACAGAATATTCTCATTCACACACAGTGAAATCATTTTTATGTCTTCTGGGAGGTTCAGTAGAATATACCTGGTATATGCCCTATTTCTTCTTCTATTTTAGCAATAGCCATGTGTATAAATGCCACAGCTGGTTATAGTATACTGTTAACAAACTAATTCAGGAGTTGAATCTGAGCGAATTCTGCAGTTGTGAGCAGACAGAAGTGCTGGCCAATGCTCCACAGCCCCTTTCAACAGGGAGCACAGTGGGAAACTGAGTGCTGGGGACGCTCCCTATCACAGGAAGAGAAGCAGCTCCGAACAGCACTGCTGGGGACAAGCACAGCTCTTTACTTGGTCATCTTCTGTAGAGCCAGCCGGCTGGCCTCTTAAAGGCTTCTTCCACATCACATCACTTCAGAAATCAGGAGAAATATGCATGTCACATAGAAAAGAAACTTTTCATATTTTTGCAGTGCTGGGATTCAAACACAAGGCCTCTTACATACTCCACCACTAGCCCTCTCAAATAATTCTAACTTAAATTTAATCCTCTAAACTAAATAGGTATATTTCTGTAAATAATTTAGCATATTACTAGATGATAAACTTTCAAGTTATTTTCAATGCATGTATTATAAATTAAAAGGGTCACCTTTTTCTTCAGAGGTAAATCCTGATGCAGCCCCAACTTTTTCAAGTATTTTCCTCAGTTTCATAATTTTTGTGGCACACACATATCCATATCTGTTGATAAAAATGAATTAACTGACACTGGCACAGTGAGTCATATGACACATCTTAATAATCGAGTACTTTTCATACAATTCTAACATGTTAACAAAAACAATAGACATGGCATTTATTTTTAAGAAACAACTAGGCTTCTTACAGAAGTTTGAAAAGTGAAAGTCTGAGAATCAGAATTGTTTCCAGATACTATTAAACACCTTAAAAATAACTACCATGTACTAATACAATTCTGAACTTTTAATGAAGCCTGGGTGAAGCAATTTTTAAATGGCATTTGCTTATTATATTAAAACACTTATTTTATAAAATAGGATATCCAAATTGTAGAAAGCCCTTCTTATACACAGGATAAAGACATGGAAAAGGGAACTGATGAGATGCTAAAAATCTAAAGTCTGAAATCAAACAGTCAACGTAATTATGACATTCTCTTTGTTTGACTATAGGAGACCATGGGCTTACAAGAACAAGTCAGAGCCAGCTAATCATACTGTGTACCTGCTTTTTAGAGCGACTATCCACTTACTTGGTAGCTTTGCAATCAGCAAACACTAAACACCTACCACTTGTGTAATGCTATATGTAGGGCACCAAAAATACAAAAGGAGATTAAAAAAAAACTAACAACAACAACAAAAAAAAAAACCAAATAAACAAAACAGGATCTCTGCCTGTGGGCGCTTCTAATACAGAAAGCAAAACCTCTGTCCAAACAACAGATATGACAGTTGCAGACACAAGAAATATATCTCAAATTTCTGAGCTACTGATCTTGGCTTAGCCTCTTGAGCTATCAAGTGCTGGGATTACAGGTATATCCCACCACACCTGGCAAGATGCACCTTGGTCTCATAGGCCATGCAGCAAGTGTTTTCTATAGACTGGTGACAAAATTAGAATAACTGTGATTCTGGACTAGTTGGGCAATCGTATGGAAAAAACGTTTACTGATGGATTGACAGTATTTTAACAGAAGGAAGGTTGTGATAATATGCCTTGTAGTTAAGATTTGACCTGTGCTGTTCTAGAGTCATTTACATAGGGAAAGAAAAATCTGAGAGTTTAAAATTTGTGTAAGTAAAATAATTAATATTAAAATCAAAGCACATAGTTAAAGGATAAGATGATTAGAGAAGTAAGGCAAACAAGTATCTAGAGAAATTTGTTTCATTTTTAGTTTACTTTCTTAGCTATGTGACACAGTATGTCGTTTGGAATACTCCTTATAGTTCCATGTTTTGTTATTTTTAAATATATGACGTTAATTTTTATTTTCACTGTTAAGAAAAGTGTATCACAAAGTTTAAATTGATCACAGTTGGACTTTAAATTGCATAGTTTGTTCTCTATGTCCCTGACCTGTCTGTTTCCTGATCACTGGCTAACCTAACTCTTCATCACATAAACGCCTTGTGAAGTCATCACACTTCACCATCATGTATCAAAGTCTTCCTCCATGGTCTTCTGCACATTTACAACTTCCTTAGTAAAGGAGGAAAAGAAGACCTAAAGAAATTCTTTTAAACAAACAAAAGGCCATGTCACTTTAATATACCTCACTTGTTTACAGTGCGATGTCATTGCTTCTTTGTGGTGCATGATTCCAAATGAGTCCCATCATTTCACAGAATGCACTGCCCAGACTAAAAAACACATAGACAGAGGACGAAAAATAAAGGTTTTAAAAAGTCAGTATTTCATGAGAACTAACTTCTTTTTTTTTACTACATCAGTACAGAGCATAAATTAATTACTATACAAGAAAACAGTAAACAGAACACCAACTGAAAACAAAACACATGTCTTCTACTTACATTCTCAGAGGATTAACTATTCCTGTCCTCAGTAGCTCCTGGGTCTCACTATAATACTCTACATCATTCTTTTTTTTGGGTCTAAGCAACATATTATCCAGAACAGAACTAAAAGCAAATAAGCTGCAAAATCAAAGAATATTTTCCTCATGTTATAAAAACAATAATATTTGAGAAAGATTCTTAAAGGAGTAGGAAGAGGCAAAGGGATAAAGTGTAGGGAACCACTGGTCTAAGAACTCATGGACAGACCACACAGGCCCTGTGCTCAGTACCCGGTGACCCTGCAGATCCAGACCAGAAACACCAAGACTGCACCATACACGTGAAGGTTGAAAACACTCCAGAGAACATTATGAAAGAAGCTTGTTTACATAAACCAAGAGAGGCCTGGAAATCGGTCACACACACACACACAGACAACACAGGGAGAAATTCAGAGACTGGTCAAGACCAGATCAGACTAGTCAGGACAAATTCATCTCATTATCATGAGATAGGCATTTCCTTATAATAACTTGTGAGTGATTAGCAATAAAAATTTGCTGGTATCAAAGAAAATAAATTTAGTTAAAATAAATTTTTATCAGCAAATCTAAGGAATATTATAGTAATGCTTGCTTGTTTGTTTAATCAAAAGTATTCCACCAACGAAAAGACCCACCTTTATTCTGCTCTCTC